AATATAAACATAGTATCAGTTTGTTCGTTAACCAACAAGTCTTGTTGTATTAATATAAACATAGTATCAGTTTGTTCGTTAACCAACAAGTCTTGTTGTATTAATATAAACATAGTATCAGTTTGTTTGTTAACCAACAAGTCTTGTTGTATTAATATAAACATAGTATCAGTTTGTTTGTTAACCAACAAGCAAACAAACTGATACTATGTTTATATTAATACAACAAGATTAACCAACAAGTCTTGTTGTATTAATATAAACATAGTATCAGTTTGAAGACTTGTTGGTTAACGAACAAACTGATACTATGTTTATATTAATACAACAAGACTTGTTGGTTACAAAATTGTATTAATATAAACATAGTATCAGTTTGTTCGTTAACCAACAATTTCTTCTTATTAAATTCTAAAATAGGTATCTTTTTTAACCAACAATTATCTATCTGTATTGTCTATTTTATGTTTCACATTAGAGTCAGTCTCTTATATCTCTTACAGTCTGCTTTATCCATAATATCAAAGTTAAACTTTATCTCTGGAGTCTGCTTTATCCATAATATCAAAGTTAAACCTTATCTCTGGAGTCTGCTTTATCCATAATATCAAAGTTAAACTTTATCTCTGGAGTCTGCTATATATCTGTCAAATTTCAAATCTTTCAAATTATACAGCAGAGGTTCTTCAGTTTACACATACAATTATACAGCAGAGGTTCTTCAGTTTACACATTACAATTATACAGCAGAGGTTCTTCAGTTTACACATTACAATTATAGAGCAGAGGTTCTTCAGTTTACACATTACAATTATAGAGCAGAGGTTCTTCAGTTTACACATTACAATTATAGAGCAGAGGTTCTTCAGTTTACACATTACAATTATAGCTTTCTTTCTGATATGATAGTGATGGTCTTAAGCTACATTAATAAACTGAAGAACCTCTGCTATATAATTGTAATGTGTAAACTGTAAACTGAAGAACCACTGCTGTATAATTGTAGTGTGTAAACTGAAGAACCTCTACTGTATAATTGTAATGTGTAAACTGAAGAACCTCTGCTTCAGTCAGACAAAATCATTTTAAGAAAGATGATTTTGTCTGACTGACAGATTTAAGAAAGATGATTTTGCCTGACAGATTTAAGAAAGATGATTTTGTCTGACTGACAGATTTAAGAAAGATGATTTTGTCTGACAGACAGATTTAAGAAAGATGATTTTGTCTGACTGACAGATTTAAGAAAGATGATTTTGTCTGACTGATAGATTTAAGAAAGATGATTTTGTCTGACTGACAGATTTAAGAAAGATGATTTTGTCTGACAGATTTGACTGTGGAATGGGGATGGGAATTCTGCGAAGCCATTCTGCGGTTCTTCTTTACTCGTGGAATTATGTTACTGTCTACAGAGACCGGTGGGAAGCCTGGCTGAAGCTGAACAAAGGGAAACAGGTGCAGGGGCGGTCCAAGGTGAGAGACCCTCTGTGAACTCAGATATTAATAGAAGGTAGATTAGAATATGTTTAATTGAAAATATAACTATAACTAATTTTTAAGATGTACTGTTAATTTTTAAAAGTGCAATGCTAATTTTTTAAGGTTTGTTATTAAGTTATGAATATCTACACATGTATAAAGGCAAAATGTGTGTTTGTTTGCACACTAACTTCTCCGAGCCTACTAGGCCAATCTCAACCAAAACTTGTATTTAAACACTATAAACTATGGGGAATGTCCTAAGGGGGTCAAAATTGAACTTAAACCTATTTCTATTTTGTAAAGCCTGTTGTGTAATTACTCCCAGCCTATTGAATCAATCTCAAACAATCTTGATAAGTTGACGCTTTAGACAATGTTGAATATTCTAAAGGGATTAAAGGTCAAAGTACGAAAGTTGCTGGATTGTTTCTCAAACAACCATGCCTTTCTCATGGTCAATAAGATGTCAGGTGTACAAGGGTGGGATTACCTCAAAATATTTATCTGTTGCTAGATGGAAAGTAAACTGTAAATGTTGTTTTTGAAGAAGCTTTGTTATAATTTTAAAATTTTGTGAAAAAGTTTATGTTAAAGTTCTGAACCCATTTTTGCATAAAAGTGGAACCTATATACTTTTGTTGCTAAGAAATATGACATAGAAGCCATTGTTGGAATGCATTGTTACCAAAACACACTGGCTTTTTTGTATATTAGAAGTTGTTATATAAGGAATCACTTCTTTTTTATGTGGTTTTTCGCTATCTTGCTTCAATAAAAAGATGCGCGTATGCACGTGCGTGTCTACCTGTCTGTGATTTCTATTTGTAATATAAAGAACCACTTTCATTAGCTTGCCTCATTACAAAGATATACACGTGCAAGCCAGCATGCACGTGGATAAGTAATATGTAGGTGCATACCCTCAGGGTCCACTTAGTATGGGTGCAAAATTTCAGGTATCTATGTTATTTCCTCTTGGATTTATGGCAGTCACACAGACTGGCATTACATACATAAATCATTAATTATATATATATATTCTTTTAATAACGGAAATGGTGTACTGTCAGACTGAAAAATAAGATATGAAAATTCATCTTTTATATTTGTATGTCTGTGAAAGAGTTGACGAGAAAGAGAATGTTTGATGGTAGTAAAGTTTTTTTGCTAATGTTTGATGGTAGTAAAGTTTTTTTGTAATGTTTGTTGGTTGTAAAGTTTTTTTCTAATGTTTGATGGTAGTAAAGTTTTTTACTAATGTTTGATGGTAGTAAAGTTTTTTACTAATGTTTGATGGTAGTAACGTTTTTTCTAATGTTTGATGGTAGTAAAGGTTTTTACTAATGTTTGATGGTAGTAAAGATTCTACTAATGTTTGATGGTAGTAAAGTTTTTGTAATGTTTGATGGTAGTAAAGTTTTTTACTAATGTTTGATGGTAGTAAAGTTTCATTCTCACGATTTAAACGAATCCAAACTCCATCGGTTGTGTGTGTGGGGTGGGGGGGGGGGGTGCGCCTACTGTAAAAGCAATAGATGCATTTTATTAGTCTTTTGTCTTTGCAGGGGCTGTTTTCTCGTATAACGTTTCGTCAGAACCTTTATTTGGGGGGTTCGCCAAATATAAGCTTAGTAGAGGAAAGAACAGGATGTCAACAGGGTTTTATTGGTTGTGTGCGCCACCTAGAGATCAACACCAGAAAATATGACTTTCGTTTTGGCAATAGGGGTGATGCCTTGGAAGGCGTTGATGTAGGTAAGGACTGTTTTGGTCGTTTAATCGTCTAGTGTCTGTTTTAGACTATGATATCATTTTTAAAGAATTTTATTTTGACATTTTTTGACGCAATTTAAACTGTCAAAAATCTTCTAAATGAAGAATAATTAGCCAAATCTCTGTCCCATATTTATTAGTTCAACCTCAAAATATTTACCATTAAGAAACTGTAGACAGAGAAAAAATTTATAACCCAGAATGTAACGACCACTAGGTCAATAACGTGGCCTAGTGGTAAATTAGCTGGAAATGTTCATGGTTTGTGTCACGTTGCGCACTCGACACTTCGGAGCCGTTGGTGCGCTCTAAGAGTGACAGTCAAATCCAACTGTTCGATCA